GACTATGTATTTTTTTCTTTTTTTAGATGAGGCAACCCTTTGATGACCTCACAGATTGCAAGGACCTTGTCAGTTTACAATCTCTTATTTTTTAATTTTTTACACCTACAGCACCTAGTCTTCCTGGGTGGTCTCCCATCCAAGTACTAACCAGGCCTGACCCTGCTCAGCTTCCAAGATCAAATGGGATCGGGTTTGTTGAGGGTAGCATGGCCGTAGAATTGACTATGTATTCTCAAAGGACAACCCAGATGTTAGATTCTAAGTTATCAGGGAGAGTTTAATCTAGTTTGTTGGTCCTGAAAAGGCCACAAAAATTTATTTTTTGAAAAATTTCTCAGGAAAAAAGTAAATTTGACTCAAGGTTATTAGTTCTTTATTTTTAGTAGCTTTAAGGACAATTTCTAAAATTAAAGTTAGTGTCTTTGGATTCGATGTGAAATCATTTTTTTTAAATAGTGTATATTCTCACTGTGAACATAAAAATATAATACATCTGGTTTTCCCCTGACATCAATAGCAGTTCATAGAGAGCTAGAGGTTACATAAGTGATATAATAAATAAACAAATAATAAGTGTTGCCACCAAAATCCCATAGCAGTTGCTTTTTTAAGTGTTCAAATGAAAAAATGATGTAGAGTAAATGGATTGTCATGTCTGAATAATATTGATTTGCTTTTATCTAACTAAGAAGTACTAAATTATTAGGAAATATTAACAAACCTTTAGGCAAAATATTTACTTACATATTTAATGAGAATTTAAAAAGCGAAAATTCAAAATAAGATAACATTTTATGATTAATTTTGTATTTCATTCTTATTTTTATTTTTTCCTTTTTTTCAATGAAATGAATCAGAAATGAGATTTGCAGAGTAGTTCCACTTAACTTAAAATACATTTACTTCTTAGATGACTTAAGACCTTGCTGTTTATAAGTTAATTATTATTTTATTACATGATTTAAAAAATTAAAGTTAATATTTAAAGTCATTACGTCTAAAAATGATTTCATAATTAGTGATTCCCTAATCTATTGATAGCAACATCGTCCATACATATAGAGTCATTAGCTACATTGAATCTCAGACTGTCTTTAGTTGATGGCTGTTTTCCAAATTCTATGGTAAGGACAGAAAGCTTTCCAGGTTAATGCCACACGTAATTATAAGACACAGCATAAAACTTCAGTTGAACACCAAAACCTGGTTAATTCCCATGGGTGGTTGTTATAGCCTTGCTTTTCTAAAGATAACATTTTATCTTTTGCTCTTTGAAGATATTTCTCAATCACTGCTTTTAAAAATTAGCTTGTTCCCTAGTTAAGTACTTATAACTGGAGAAAGCAAATAAGTAAAAAAAGCAATGCATTCCATAGTTGAGGTTTTCTTTATCCTTTGGGACTAAAACAATGAGGAAACATAAATTAATACAAGACACATCTACATATTTTATTCTTAGTTTATAAGAAATAATGTAAAATTAAAATAAAGTATAACCTCAATTGATCAGTTCCAATTATGAAGAATACAACTCCAACAAACATCAAAGAGTTTTTCTTAAAGAGACATTATCTGTCACAAAACTCAGATGCCTCTTTTCATAGGTGAGTCTCTTATCCAGAGATTATTTGTTTAAAATTATATGTAGAGTAATTTTAGTCATTAATATTGGTTTCTTTTAGCGACATGTAATTTTTCCATGTTAAACAGAAAATAACAGAAAGAAGTGTCCATTTGCTGGTGAAAAAATGCAGGGAGAGACATAGAAAACATAGATCACAATCTATGCCCTCTGGCTACTCACAGTCAGGAGGGGATCAAGAAGACATTCTAGATAAGGTACACCTGAGATAAGTTTTGGAAAACATAATAAAATTTTGTCAAGTGGCAGAACAAGGGCATTCTGGAGAAAGAGTAGAATATAACATATTTAGGGACTGATAACCCATTTGAAAATGTTGAAGGACAAAGTGTGATTGGGGAATGGAAAAAGATGAGGCTTGAAGCAGCAAGGGGCAGATCACTGAAGAGCCTGGTATTTCAAGCTAAGCACAGAAGGTATTGTGTGCATAACAATAATGACCTAGGTTTAGATTATTGTTATGTGTTTAAATTTTTATGTGAGAAACTAGAGAATGAAAGAGACATGTGAAGAGACTTTAGCATCTGGAAAGCACATATGAGGAAAAATTGAAAAACACTTGGATTTCTTACATGATTGCTTTTACATATACATATTCTATCTTTTAATGTGCTTGTAAGCTGTTAATGGGGCACAAATTTTCATTTTTTTCCACACTTTAAAACTATAATATGTGTGTGTGTGTGTGTGTGTGTGTGTGTGTGTGTGTGTGTGTGTGTGTAGTCATTTTGAAAGAAACGACCATTTTATTAAAGGTTAAATGTACTGGATATTTCTTTTAATGTCAGAAGGAGACATTTATTCTCAAAAGCATGTTAATTCTGTTTTCTGTATTAAGCATAATTTTCTTTGAAATCACTTGTCAGAAACTTTTCAAATGCAATCTAAATTCTGCACAACATTACAGATAGAAATGTTTGACTTACGTTGAAAATGCATTATTCTGCTTTTCACATCGTATGCCTTTGCAGCTTAGCCCTTTTGTTTCTTCGTAATAGAAGTACAATTGATTTAGGCCATTTGCAAATGCTAACAACACAAGGCAGTATATGAATAGAAACTTCAAAATGTCCAGGAGCATTCTTCCCAGAGATATTTGCAGAGGCCCCAGGTGAGAATTTGCGGTAAATAGTGAGATTAGGCGCAGGGAACTGAAGATGTTTGCAATAGCAAATAAAGCTTCAGCCACCAGAGTGGGATGCCACATGTCCCAAGATTCTCGTGGATTAAGAGCACTGTACTGGAAAAAAATAGAGAAATAAAGGGAAAGTAAATCAAACCTATACATATGAATATGTCAAGTTCAGACAAGGATGCTTTTTCAGGTAGATCCGGCACAATGGGCTATTGTCAAGAAGTTAATGTCCTCCATGACAGTGGCAGCAATTTTAATCTATACAAAAAATAAGAATTTATTAAATTAATTTAGAACTTATGAAGTTTAATTAAAATAGCCTTCTTAGTCTGTCCTTATAAGTTGTAGTATTTGATAATATGTGAATTATATCTGTCCTTGACTTTTACAATGGAACTTTAAAAACAGAAAAGAAAAATGTTATACAGAAAAAATAAATCTTATTTTATTTTGGAAAAAGGATAGCAATATCATTATAACAAAGGCAAACTAAATGAAAGGAACTAAAATGAAAGGCACTAAATTTTGAACAAAATAATCGATGACTTTATCATGTCTGACACACTTACTTATTCTAGAGGAATGCATGCAGGATATAAATTATGTATAAATGAGTAGAAGGAGTAGTCTATTGTCTTGGAAATAGTAATGACCAATATGAGCATAACAGTACTTTGTTTTATCTTAAATGTTTTATCTTAAATGTAGATAAAGCCCAACTTGGAAATCAATCAATGAATTGTTCATTTTGCATACATATTGTATAGAAAATATGATATTTATCTGGACATTCCTTAACTATATAAAATATGTGATTTGAAAAAAAAAATATTTGCTATGTTAAACTAGAAATTATTTTAAAAGTAGGAATTAAATAAAATTTCAGCTTCAAATTATCTTGAAATTGAACTAAATAAAGAGCACAATAAAACTTATCCCTTACACTACTGAGTCAAATTTGTTCCCTATTTTAAAAAGGGGGTCAATATGCTCTTTGAAATATTGAATTATGAAAACCTATAATTAAACCTGGATAAGAACTGAAAAGTAAATTCAATTCTCTTCCTCATACACATCACTAAAAATTACATCTATACAATTTCATCTTTTTCTAATGATTATGTCATAAAAAACTTTTTACTTCTGTATGAGTTCCATCAGAATATTTTCATTCTTTTATATTGAACTTTATATCAAAGACCTTTACAAATGTTAATTAATTCTTTTGAAACTAATAGATAATATTTTTTAATCTCCCTGGAGAGAAAATAAATCACAAGTGCATGATTTTGTTCAACAAGCAGACTCTTGCTTGAGTGACAATTTAAAATAATCAAGTTTGAACTAGAGGGAAATTATTTTCTATTTTTAAATTCTGATTACTCTTCTTAAACATTCCCACACATAGCTTTAGCATATAACAGCTAGTGATTGAAGATATAGAAAAAATTAAAACTTTAAGATTTTAAAATTTATTATAACAAGTTTCAGAGTAAGGTTTTGTGGTATCGAACACTATGTAATTCTCTCCACTTGGTCGCCCACATATTATGTCACTTTTTCCGTCAAAGATTAAGATCACATTCGCCTTCCTTTTCTCACTTTTCTTAAAAGACACAAATATTTAAGTAGAGGACATCTCCCCTCTCGATGGTTAATTCTCTCTCTCTCCCTCCTTTTCCTCCTCCCCCATTCTCTCACCCTAAATAAACAATATGGATTATGACTACATTTCAAAATGTATAAAATACAAGACAGTAAGTGTTCTTAAGGACGTGATCGTGTTCAGAAATTTCTCACAACATTTAACGCAATGCCCTGCATATAATTGCTGCTCAAGAAATATTTTCTCTCATCAGTTATTCATAGTCCAATGAGGATGACAGGGACAATGAATTGTAACAAAAATGCTCTAAGAGATAAACATAAAGTGCTGTTAAGGGAGAAGAGAAAGTGGTAAATTAAGTCTGGGGCAACTGGGGCCAGAAATGAATAGAGATTACACATTCAAAATTTAAGGATCTTCCAATTACTGAGTCTAGTAGAGATACTGCTCTTTGTTCTAGGTTTTATAGCCAGTTTAAGGCAGCTGGATGTGAAATCCATCATCACATGGTGACTGACTACAGCTCTACTATCAACCTACTCTACTTAGAACCCTTAGCAAATTATCTCAGGTAGGATTTGCAAAATCATAAGAGGAAGGTTTTCCATTTTACAAATCACAAAACACTAGATTCTGCTCTGATATAATTGCTCAAGTCTGCTTCAGAGTCTAGCACTTCTGGTAATGGTTGGGAAATCACATTTATACATGGTCAGGGCTTCCTGAGCAAAACATTGCCTGTATATGGGTTAAAGAATATTTGAATGGCAAAGAAGCCTTCTAAGTTAAAGATAGAGTGGAAACCTCTCCCCTGAAGCCATCCGCTTACATTCTAAGGATAATAAACCTAGGGATCTTTGCCTCACCAGAGACAATGTCTTTACTTCAGAAAGTTAAGATCTTTCCTCTTCTCCAGGGAGAAGATAGGCAGCTGGCACAGCTGTACTATATAAGCTCTGAGATTCACATTTCTAGTTCCTCTCCTGTGGTATAAACTTCTGCATGCAAAGGGTACATCTGGTTCTCATCTATTGCCCTGTGGGGGATTGCAGTGCTGGAACCAATGTTAAAATTGTTATGTAAGTTAATAATTAGTCTGTTCCTTGATCCAGAATCCTTGTTTTCTGTCAGGAATACAGTACTTCTCCCTTATCCACAAGGGGATACATTCCAAGACACTGAGTAGATGACAGAAACTGCAGATAGTACCAAACCCAATATATACTATGTTTTTTTATGCATTTATGCCTATGATAAACTTTATTTTATAAATTAGTCACAGTAAGAGATTAACAACAATAACTAATAACATAGAACAATTTAAAAATTATACTATAATCAAAGTCATGTGAATGGCTTTGGGGCCATTATTAAATAAAATAAGGGTGACTTGAACACAAGCACTGCGATACGACAACAGTCGATCTGATAACCGAGATGGCTACTAAGTGACTATTGGGCAGGGAGCATCTAGAGTGTGGAGGCGCTAAACAAAGGGATGATTTACATCCAGGCTGGACAGAGCTAGACAGTGTGAGATTTCATCATGCTACTCAGAGGCACACAATTTAAAACTTATAAATCGTTTATTTCTGTAATTATCCATTCGATATTTTAGGACCCTGGTTGACAGTGAGTAATTGAAACCATGGAAAGCAAAACTGAAGATAAAGAGGATATTACTTTAAGTAGAGATATAAACATTTAATAATTATCTCATGATTTCATTTTTTTAAGTTTTGCTTTTTAATTTTTCTCCTGCCATTCACATATACATTTAGCTTAGGTTTTTAAATATAGGCATTGTTTTACAAAGCAATTAAATTTTCTTTTACAACCCATTATGTTTTTTTAATTTGTAGAGGAAATTGTAATTCTTCGGTCTTAATGTATTTTTTATATATATTATTATAAATTAAAAGATTAACTTGAATTTAACATTTTTCTTTGGCTCCATTTAAAAAATTCATAGCTTTTATAATTTTTTTTATCTTTGCATGTTTGCCTCCAACCATTTATGAAGCCTCTCTGATTCCTTTAGAGGTTCCTCTTTCTCACTTGCCCCTTAAATGTTGAGTTTGCTTTGCAAGCCTCTCCCCTTCTCATTCAATCTATACTCCTGAATGTTTTCTATGGTTTTAACTGTCAGTTACATGAGAATGACTCTCAATTCCACATCTCCAGCCCAGACTCCTCACCCTATAGACACATTTTATATTTTAATACCTCTCTCACTTTTCCACTTGGATATCTCACTGCCATCTCAAACTCAGAAGCCAAAATTGGAACTCATCATCTTTTCACTCCCAAACCCTTTCTCCACTTATGCTTTCTGATCTTAGTGAATGGCAGCATATTACCCATAGCAGAATTTGAGGTTGATCCTTGAGGCTTCTTTTCCAAACTCCCAGCCTCTAAGTGGAAATCTTATGTATGGTGGTTACTCTTCTTCATCAGTATCCTCATTATCTTAAAATATTTCTCTATTTCCTACAGAAATTATTATAATAGCCTCTTAACTGCTCTCTCTGACTTGATCCTTATCTCTATGATCATCTATTTCCTTAAAATGGTTTGTTAAAAGGGCCAATCAGACTATTTCACATATTGTTTAATGTTCTTCAATGGCTCCGCAATGTCCTTGAGATGAAATTCTGATTTCCCAACATGGCACATAAAGACTGTGGAATCTGGGTCCTGACCCCCTCTTAAGATTGACCTGCCACTTGTCTCCAGTTAGATACCTAATGCTGCGGCTCAAACATTTAGTGCTGGTAATTCCCCAAATCACCCTTGCATTCTCCCTAAAATGCGTTTCTATGAATACTGGATCCTTTGTTCAGAATGGATTTAAATTCTAATTATTTTGATTCCTCAGTTGTTATTCATTCATTCATCAAATACATGTTGAGTGCTTACCCTGTGTCAAGCACTATCTTTGGGGTTCATCATCATATCAGACAAGATATAGTAAACCATATGGGCTTACAATATAGTGAAGAAGACAGACATTAAATAAGTAATTCTAATTCATCCCTTAATAAATACTCTTTGACTGCAGATGACTAGATACTAGCATTCTTCTGATCAGAGCTGGTCACTCCATGTTGTAGAACAATCCTTGACAGAGAAAGATCAAGAGCATCTAGGACCATCAATTCCTGTTTTTCTCTTTCTCTCAAGTATTTCCTTTCTAGTCTAAACCTGTCACAGTTTGGTTTTACCCTAAGCCTTTATTTCTACTCAGACTCCTTTTAAGAGAACTGCCCCTTTGCAGACCTATATAATAGCTTATTGACCCTTGGATTACTAGTCAGTTTCTGCTTTATCTAAGAATTTTATGTGGTTAACATATATATGATAGAAGCTCAAAAGCATTCAAGGGAGAAAATAATAAACGAATTCAAAAGCAAATTTGTTAGAAAAGGTGAATCATTTGTGGAAATGTATCTTAATATAGCTGGAAAATGGAGGGTTTGAAAATAATGAGATTAATCTGAGAGGAAGTTGGAACCAGGTCATGAATACATTAGCGGAAGTGTTAAGAGGAGAAGATGGATTGAATCATAACATTGGGTCATAAGTTCCTACAGGAAAACATATGTTACTTCATCTTTCTATCCTCTATAGACTCTGATATATATTTATAAGGCCAAGTAATTAATTTAAATGAATAAAATTAAATTGATGCAAAATAAAAATGTTTGTCATATGAGATTAAGTAGAAAATGTATACTTGTTTTAATGTCTGGTTTACAAGGTGATAACTGGAAAATTAAGTAGTGAAAGAAGTAAGAAGGTATATCGTTTTCTCCTGTGGTAGGTAATATTAGATTAAATAATTAGGATTCAAATTTCTACAGCTCTTTTCCATAAAACTAAAGAGTATTTAGAAACCCCCATAACTTGGAGAGTACACTAGCGTTATAGCATTTGTGATATGGAAACAACAATATTGCCTCCTTTCTAGCTGATAAAAATAGTAGGAATCAATGAGATATATACTCCAAACTATTTTAAAGAACAGTGCTATGAAAAAATTTATCATTATGGTTAAAATAAATGTTCCTATTTATAATATTTTTGATTTTTGAAAATATTACTTAATATACACAGTGGAAGTGGCATAAGAATTTTATCATTTCTGTCAAATGACTGAAGATAAATGTGAGATAAATAGTACATACGGAAAGGGATTGGGTAATATTCAGGAGAAAATCAGTCCCAATGAAGCTAATGTGATATTTTATAATTATGCCCAGGTAGCAACAAGCTCTGGATTAGCAAATAATTTATAAATTGTGAGAGATGATTGACAAACTTCTCTTTTAAAACTTAGGAACGAATTTTGTTTTTAAAAAAGCCACAATTCTTGAGTTGTAAAGTGCTAATGAATCAAGTTACTTAAAGAAGCTCCATGAGGCCTTGCATGTAAAGAGGAAAATACTGAAGTCATATACTTCTGTCCTCTGTCTTTGTACAATATAATGCTATTTCATGGTACATCATATTATATACATAAAATTAAGAACAACTATGGCGTTGTTATATTAAGAACAACTATGGAGTTGTTATATTAAGCTTTATTCTATGATAATAAATCCATTTATTAATGTAATTTTCACAGAATTTAATTGTTAGTGTCATTTTACAGATAAGAAAATTGAGGTATAGATTAAGTAACTTGCCCCAAATCACACAGACAAGAAGTAGCATAAGCAATACTCAAATCAAGTGTGGATCAGAATCCAAAATTCACCATGGTCTTGGTTAGAAAAGCCCTTTTGTTTATAAAAACAAACAAAACAAAAACAGAACAAAACAAAAAAGAAAACCCTCCAGATAAATGAATCACAAGAGGATTAAGCAATTAAGCAAGTGTGGCTCTTCTGCCAGACCTATTATAAAAGGTTCTCCCCCAAACAGATAAGATACAGAAAAGTTTCCCTTCTGGTTAGCTGACAGTGTTTTCCTCTGCATCCATGGCTTGTCCAAATAAAATCTAGGGCTGGATTTTTATTATCATTTATTCACCCTCATATGGAAGAGGTAAAGCCATTATAATCCCAGCAGAGATCTCAGTTATAACTCTTTGGTAATCCTGTCTTAATAAGTGAACTATTTTCCAGGGAGCAACATCAGGTAGATTCCATCTGCCTCATAATTCATAATTAATAAATCTCCTATTTTGTAGGTCTTAAAACTCAATTTTTTTTCAAATTCAGCCTTCTATTAGTTTCCCATATATCCACTGCTCTACTTCAGGATTCAGCATCATTTGACTGTTTCTCCATTTAAATCTCATGAATGGCTCCTCTTTATTTATAGGACAAAATTCAAATTCTATAGCAGGATGTGTAAAGTCCTTTTTATCCCCTTCATGCCCCCATTTCCTGGATCATCTCTTATAGATCTTGACCTCTTTTGTATACTTTTTGTAGACTTTTGTACATTGTGTCTTGTCTCTCTGAAATTCACATCCATGTTTATAAACATGATACTTGCCTACTCGCTCTGTCCTCTATATAATTCCAAGACAATGCTAGTAAAGTTTAGTTCCAAATCACAGAGATTACACTTGGTAAAGGCAAGTGTGAATCCAGAACTCAAATATTTTTTCAACTAGAACAAAGCAAATGAAGAGATGTTATAAAAACATTCCAAAAGGCAGGTCTAGTATATAAAGAAGGAAAAGGAGACAGGAGTCAAAATGAAAGAAGAAAAACTAATAATGAGCATTTACTCTGTAACAGGCACTTTAAATATATCAACCCACTAATTTACATAATGTCTTTTCATACTAACAGAATAAAGTAGAAATTGTTATTCTTGTTTTATAGATGAGGCACAGAGAAGTGAAGAAACGTTTTCAAGTTTATATAACTAGTAAGTGATAGAGGAAAGAACTGAACTCAGGAAACTTGACTTTTAAGTGCATGTCATTAACCACTCAATACCCATGCAACTCAAGTTATAGTCACACAAACTAATCATTCAGAAAGAACATTTCATAATTTATATTTACAATCATAGCTGAACTTCTATTACCAAAGTGCATAAACTACATATTTTATGAAGATTCATGTTTTTTATTGTGATATGAGATCATTTTTATTGTGATATGAGATCATTTCTGTGTACACTTTCATCTGCCTTAATCTCCCTTCCTCTTCTTCATCAATTGGGGTGGGTGAGTTAAATTTTAAACATAAAATTTTCCTTGATGTAGTATATAGAATGATGTTTATATATTTTAATATAAAAATAGATGTTTTACATGAATAATTTACAACTTTCTAGGAAAATTAAAATCCCATATCAAAAAGCATGAAGGCAAAAAATCCACAATCATTAATTTGTGTATGTGTACCCACTATGTACCAAAATTCTCTTATGTGAAAATATATATACATTATATATAAACACCATAGTAATATATAACATATATGTTTCTTAATAAAAATATTGTATATACAAAATATATGAGAGAGGTCCATTTTGGAATCAATCTCACACTTCTCTGAGCTGTTGAGTAGACTTATACTGCCCAATGCTGTTCAAAGTGTTTTCCTTAGACCACCTACATCAGCATCATCTGATGAGTTTGCTAAAAATACAGAATTAAGCCCCTCTCCAATATTCTAAATTTAGAATTTCTGGGGATGGAAAAAAAGAACCTGTTTTAGCAAGCTCTCCTGGTGACTGTCATGCACCTGAAAATTTGAGAAAAACTGCAGTAATCATTTTTATAACTTCATGGGGCCACAAAAAACAGATAGTAAAGAGATGTCAAAAGCAATTTTATAGATATATTTAGTTAAGGATCATTACAGAGGAAAGAGGAATTGGACAGATATTCACTTAAAAATAGACTGTCCATCTTCTACATAGATTCATAACTTTCTCAGTTAAGTTATGACAATTAGGACAGTACCTTCCACTATTTTAATAAGGTCTTCAAAGGCATTAACCTTAATACTAACAGAAAAAATTACCAAATTATGTTTCCATTTTTAAAACATAACTTTCTTTTCATGAAATAGGTAGAAAATTTGTTTTCTTAATGTTTTGATGAGTTCCAGAAACATTTTAATTAAACAAATTCTGGAAACTATGGCCTTTCTAACTTTAGGCTATTTTGACCCTGTCATAGCTAAACATTGCACAGGGAGTCTCAGACCTCTATTTTGAAAACTAGAGTTAATAAATGAGTTCATCTACATGTTAGCATTTTCTAGTTCAAATCACTAAATTATATGAATCATTCCTGTAAAGTACAATTAGACATTCTTCATTTTTTACCAATTAACTAATCATTTTGAAACAAAATTTTTAAAAAGGAGATAAGAAAAGATGCAAAAAGAAAGGCAGAAAGGAGGAGATGATAATACTTTAGTTGGAAAAACATTCTTCAGAGTGCAAAATAATCCCAATTATCATTGCGGAACAAAACCGTTTTACATAAATTATGTGGTTTGTGATAAGACTGATGTTGTACAAAATCTGGGGGAGTAATGGGTGTGTGAGATTTCAGATACTGTCATGTTGAATAGGATGAGGAGGAAGAAATTAAATTCTGCTCTAATAATATTAGTTTAAACTGAAATAATTTCAATACTTTTTAAAGAGTAATATTTTGATCTGTCTCTGTAATTTTATCAGTTATCTGATAAAAATAGATTTGGTTGCCAAAGTTTAAACAGTGTTTGAGGTAGAATTTCATTAGAAATTGAAAAGAAAGAGCATCTATTGTGATAATTTTGAAATGCATTCAATTTAGATGCTTGAAAACTTCTAATTGCTTATTAAATTTGTTTTATGACTATAAATTGTGTGTTGTCTATGTGTTTTATACCTATCTATCAATAAGGTCATGAGCTGATGAATAACATTCTAAGTAACAATATTAATAAAATTGACAGTCATAGAAGGTATTTCAATATTTATCAAAATTTATGCTTTACCAACAACATAAACAATAGTTACCTTCACAAATGCCACAATTTTCAAGGAGATTGTTGCTAAATATAAGGAGTTCATCACAAAATCCATTAGATTCCACCAATCATGGATGTAATCTTGAAGTCCGCCATCCCACATTTGTTTTATTTCTCCCCATATAAAACCTGCAATTATAGATTCATTGTAAGTGTAATTTTCAATCAAATTACTAAAAACAGATTTACAATTTAGAAATTATAGAATCTTGGAGTTGCAAGTGACCATATAGTTATACTAGATGCAACATCTATTTTTATAGATAACAGCTTTTAGAACTCTCAGGTAACAGCTTTTAGAACTCAGCTAATTGTAGAGAATATTGTTAGGGAAGCTTCATTTTCTTTTACATAGTAATTTAAAAATGTGTAAGAATGTGCAATTTTTGAATAAGATTATAATTCTTCTATAATTATAAGTTTTTCTCATGGAAAATATCATAACATTTTCTTGTAAACAAATACATTAAGCCATTTTTCATCCCAAGTCAAAAACTGTATCTAGTGAACATGACTAGATTGATACCATTAATTGATACCATTGATACTTTGTTGTGCTTTTGTAAGCAATTAGCACCTTCGAAAGTCTGATTTCAGGTTTGGACAAAAGGTGGTTATAACATTCATGATACTTCATTAAAAGACCTTATATATCTCGTAACAGCTTTAAAACTACATCTAGAGAAAATAAAAAAAAAATCCCTTTCTTTTAATATGGTCATATTTTTGATTGGAAATGTTTTATTTTCAAGTTCTAAAACATACTTATAAAATATCACTGTATATCATTATTTTATTTTAAGAATATTATTAAAGTTTTATAAATATGTCTTTAGAGCCTAATGATGAGGGGATATTCAAGTATCTGGATCAGAAAATATTAAAAGGATAAATATGACTTTACGACTACATTAATACAAGCAAAAAATAAGACTTCTTTAAGAAAATGACAGTCTGGAAAGTCAAATGTGTAGCATAGAGTTTTACAACTATCTGACACTAATAGCAAGTAAAAGTAGATTAACTATAAAATCATAACATTTTATGAATTCATCAGAGAGATGAGAAACCAAGGAGCTCATACTTGAAAGAAAAGTAGGTTTCTCTAAAGCCAGCCATGATGTGAGCATTAGGTCTCCTGTGGCAGATCGCAGGAGTAGGAGACACTGGCATCGTACAAGGAAGAAAAATATTTCAGAAAAACTTTTAAACTGCTAAAGGCTGAGTATGAGCTAGCATGAGAGGATAGAACCCCTGGGACACAGACAAGGGGGAGTTTGCACCCATGTGTATTCTCTTTTTCATAAACCGCAACCACTGCTCAAGAGGCTGATTCTGTGGTAAGGACAAAAAACTCTTTCCAGACTCCTGTTCCCTAAGGAGCAAAACACTTTAGCCCAAAGGAAAAATAGGAAATAGTCCTGGACCTAGGGTTTGTACCAATATCATTAGAGATTTCCTACCACAGGGAGAAGGTCAAGAAACTCTTCTGTACATTACCTGCAAAGTTTTATCACCATGAGAAGGAAGATATGGATCACTGAGAAACTCCATCCTCAGTGCCCCGACATAAGCAAACTGAAGTCTGACCCTAGACCAGGACAACAGAGAATCTTCCTGCCCCTCATCACCAGGCTGACAGGCACCAAGTAACAAGCAGAAGTCGACAATCACTAGGGGAGTGCCAAGAGCATGCATAGAGACCCTTCTCTGTGGTACAGGTATACAAAGTCAAAGTTATGTGTGGAATAGGAATTCTGAGAATAAATCCTCCTCTCCACTTGTCATAGTCATGTCAGGCTGCTATAAAAAGTTATCATAGAGTGGGTGTCTTATAAATAGCAGAAATTTATTCCTCATAATCCTGGAGGCTGCCAGTCTAAGATCAGGGTATCGGCATGGTTAGGCTCTATGAGAAACCTCTTCCATGTCGCAGACTACTGATTTCTCTTTGTTTCTTCACATAGCAGAAAGATAGTAAGCTAGCTCTCTAAACTTTTTTAATAAAAGCTCTAACTTTATTCATGAGGGCTCCACTTCATCATCTAATTGCCTCCCCAAAGCTCCACCTCCAAATACATGCACATTGGAGGTTAGGATTTCACCACATGAACTGGGGCATGGGGGACACAGAAGCACAGTCCATAACACTACCCTAAGCAGAAGTATGTGGTGTACTGAAACTGACTGTAGCAACAATGAAACCCAAACCCAGCTCAGCTCCTGACTATACTGCCTCAAATTCCTGCACTAATTCTTGCACTAGCAGAAGAGGAGTGGCTGTTTTCAGGCATACATGTTGTGTACTTCTGCTTAGTCTCCTGTATAGGCAGAATCAATATCCTGACTCTCACCCCGCCTCTCGACACACAACGATATATCATTTTCACATTGTTTTAAAAAGATTAAAAAAAAGTATTGAAGGTATTGGGGTAGGGATGGCATGGAAATAAAAGACATATTGCATACAATGGACTAATATAAGACTGACATTAAACTTGTTTTCTGAACTATGCAAGACAGAGTGACATCATGAAAATGCTGAAAGGAAAAAAAAAGTCAACCCAGAATTCTTTACATAGAATAAATAGTTATAATAAATGAAGGTGAATAAAAGTCATATTTTAGACAATCGAAAACTCAGAGAATTTATTGGCCTAAGACCCATGCTATAAGAAATGCTAAAGGGATATTTTTTTAGGCAAAAGGTATGTGATACTAATCTGAAATTTAGGTTTATAAGGAGAAATGAAAATCTATATCTAGAAATGGCTAATATAAAAATAATAGCAAAAAAATATTTTGTTAAAAATTTGAATTGCTTAACATATAATTGCCTAAAGCAAAAATAGCAATAATTTATTGTAGTTTATAACATATGTAACATATCTAAAAGTAAAATATATGACAATAGCACAGAAGATGAAAGAGTAGAATTTATTTATTTTTATTATTATTATTTTTTTTTAACACCTACAGCATCCAGTATTCCTAGGTGGTATCCCATCCAAGTACTAACCAGGCCCGACCCTGCTTAGCTTTCAAGATCAGATGAGATCAGGCACGTTCAGGGTGGCATGGCCATACATGAAAGAACAGAATTTGAAACATACTATCGTAAGGTTCTTATACTACCTATAAGACAAAAAGTACTATTTAAAGTTACACTGTGATAAATTAAAATTTCTTATTGTAAATCCTAGGGAATCCTCTTCAAATATTTTTAAATGTGTAAATAAAGAGCTAGAAATGTAAATAAATGTGAAGTTATAAAAATATTCAATCCATGAACAAGCAGAAAAAAAATGGAAAAAACACAACAAATAACAGATGAAGCAAATAGAAAACACAATAGTAAAGGAGTGGATTTTAAATTTGCTCTTATCAATAATTATATTGAGTGAAACATATGTTCTAAACACAATAATTAAAAGACAGATAATTAAAATAAAAAACACAATTATATCACAATTTGTATATAGGTTAAAAGTAAAGGAATAATAAAGATACCATGAGATATCCATCAGAAGAAAGTTCAAGTCGCTATATTACTCTGAGTAGATATATTTTGGAAGAAGAAATGTTACTAGGTATGTAAAAGGATATAATGTAAGGATAAAAAATTCAACTTACTGAAAGGACAGACTGATTCTAAAGATGGATACAACTAACAAAATAACTTTATAATGCAAGATGCTATAACTATTAAAACTGAAATAAAAAATAAAGATACAATTATAGTTAGAGATTTTAGCTTCCTCTCTGTAACCTATAGTACCAGTAGGCAGAAATTCAGTAAGTTTATAGAAGTCCTAAATAACTATCAATAACCTAACAACAGCAAAGTACACATTTTTTTCGTTTTTGAGTGCATGTGGAACATTTACCAAGATAGACTATGTTATTGCCTATAAAACAAACCTTGAATACTTATAGAAGTTGAAATAATACAAAGTGTGTTCTATGATAATATAATAAACAGCAAATCATTAATGAAAAGTATATAGAAAATCTCCAAATATTTTGCAAATGGACAACACACTTCTAATTAATCTTGGTCAAAAGGAATTTACAGAATAATTAGAAGATATTTTGATTTGATTTAAGATGAAATGGAGCCAAAAAATCTGTGATGCAGCTAACGTAGTATTTAGAGTGGAATTTATAGGTCTAAGGGCTTTACGAGAAAAGAATAAAGGTCTCGAATCAGTGATCTCAGCTTCAAATATGACACTATAAAAAGAAATCAAATTAAGCCTAAAATAAGCAGAATAAAGAAAATAAAAAATATAAGAACAGAAATCAATTAATTTTAAAACATAACTTGAGAAGAATTTTAAAATAGTCAAAATAGATAAAACTGTACCAAGAATGATAGTCAAGAAAAAAAAATAGAAGATATAGATGATCAATACCAGGAATGAAAGAAGGGTCATCAGTACAAATCTTACTGATAATATAAAGATAATAAGTGAATAAAACAAACAACTTGGTACCCATAAATTTCACAACTTGAATGAATTGGACATTTTTTCTGGAAGACATAAACTTCTAAACTGATTCAAGAGGACTTAGAGTAACCTGAATTGTTTTGTGCTTATTAAAGAAAGTAAATTTACAGTTAAAAATCTTTTTACGAAGGCATTTTCTGGTTCAGTTGCTTCACGGTGAATTCTACCATATATTTAAGGAAGAAATAATAAATCAAACACAAAGGTACAAGAGAAAGAAACATTTAAAAGGCAAGTGGTATTCTAGTAAAGGGGATTGCAGTACGTATAACCCTTATGAATATGCACAAAAAATTCTCAAAAAATATTAGAAAATTAAATACAGTAAATGCAAGATTATTTCAACATTTAAAAATTAATATAATTTATATCATTACTAGATTATTTTTTAAAATATCTCAATAGATGCAGTAAATGTATTTGACAAAATTTAACATGTATTCATGATAAAAATTTTCAACAAAGCATAAATAATAGAAGGGTAGTTTTTTGATTTGATAAAGTATATCTACAAAAATCTACAACTATCATCATAGGTACTCTGCAAAGGGCCAGAGAATAAGTAATTTAGAGTTTGCAATAATGATTGGGTGTAGCTCTGTTACAATGAACAGATTT